TTACCATTCATTAACATGATCTCAATTCAAACTATTATTAACCAGCCATAATATTTTATTTTCTTGGATTAAAGTTGGTTTTGGACCTGTTAGTGATAATTTTACCCCTGTAGCTCATTTATAAATTAAACTGATGGTGTTACATCTCAGCCCGTTTCATTCCCCTCTCTCCCCTGTATAGGTTTGTGTTGATTTTGTATGAGAGAGAGATATCCTGTTAACACTGTGGGCCTCAAAGCACAGTAGTACACAGCAGAGTCAGACACACACAGTCTCTGGATTATCAGTGGAACTGATTTTGATGGTTTCACCTCAGAGTAAAATCTCTCCTGGAACTCTGTTCCATTACTTCCTCCTCCGTATGAATTCCTTTGTAACACAAGTTTAGGAGATTCTTCTGTTCTCTGTATGTACCAGAAAAGCTCTTGTGATGTTGAGGCTGTAGTATATTTGCAGTCCAGTGTTACTGATTCTCCCTCAAATTTAATAACATGTTTATGTGGCTGATCAACTGTGTCATCTGACTGACATCCTGTTAACACACAAGAGTAATTCTGTGACACACAGCATTATAATGTAGAAATAAAACCAAACATTCAAGAGTAATATATACCAAACATACCAAGAACAACTAATCCCAATATTATTAATGTCTCCATCAGCCATAGTTTCATTGTTTGTTCTTCAAGATGATAAAGTGGTACCCAAAGAAAAGACAAATCAATCAGTGAGAGCAAAGTGACTGAGAAAAGAGAGAGATTCAGAGCAATTATTCCTGTATGTAAGCAAGGGAGGAGTTCATAACACTGTCAGATACTCACTGTAACAACATCAGCCTAGAGTGCATCTCCCTCTCCTGGTTTCTTTGTAGAATTACAGTACAGAAGTTTAATTTATTTTCATGGATGATTTGTTAGCTTTGTAATTTATTTATACAAGCACCATAGAGAGCCACTGTTTTAGACCACACTGGCAAGCATTAGCTATTGTATGTCAATCAGAAAAATTGCTGTAAAATACTGTTCATTTTTATTATTGCTTGTTATGCTTATGTAGGGAGTTAAATTCAAGGTTAACATTAATGTTCTATAACTTTAAATAAGATCTAGAGGTAATATCGCGAGAACAGAGACCCGCGATTAGGATCGCGGGAGAGAATGATCTAGACAGTTGATCTCAGCGGGATCTCAAACTCAAGATTTTTACTAACATCTGTGAAAATTTCTTCCCCACCAGATATAACTAACTCTAAAGTAAGGGGTATTAAAAATGAATGTGTGCAATTTTTATATGCATCTTACATATGTAACAACAACTGTATTCAAACCAAGGCAAAAAAAAAGGTTGGTGCATATCAATTTAACTAATGTGAAATACTTTAAATGTAATCAAATGAATATTTATCAACTTTATAAAAAGGCAAATCTTTTGATGCAATCTTTTCTCACTGTGGATATTAGAGTAATCTACTGTACATAAGGCAAATATTTGTCCTACACCATCATTAATCCATCATTGTTCTTGCAATTCATATGAATTCATTTGACACAGCTTCTAGTTTCATTCCCCTTTCTGATTGATTATTTTAGTTCACATGAGAAGTCAGATAATGTTGTTCTGGTTTTGTAAATCTAAAGATTAAGATTTTTGTCTTTTTTTATTTAAATGTGAAACAAAAGTAAAAGTTTCATATTTTACTATGAAATGTCCAATTTATTTTGCTGTAAAACAGCAATTTGTTCTAGTCGATTATCATATTACCATCTCCCCTTCTCTACTCCTAAATTGTTCAGCAGGTGTTACCACATTCTGTTGTTTACAGTCTCAGGGGTACATGTGGTATTATGCACATCTGATTACTGACTTTTAACGCAATAATTATGTGTTTGAGTTTTTGTAAAGCCATCAAGGCATTTTGGATCACTGGGGTACTACTCTCAGAGCACAGTAATAGAGAGCTGAATCTGACAGAGTTACGCCAGTAATAGTGAGTTTAGTGGATGTTTGTGATGTAGTCGACTGAAAACGAGGGTCTGGTATATCCTCATTTCCGCTGTATGATCGAGCACCTTTCCACAGTAAAAACTGAGGTTCTCTATTAGGATTCTGTCTGTACCAGTAAAGATAAACATAATTGCTGCTTGTATCATATGTGCAGCTCAGTGTCACAGACTCTCCTTCTGTCTTGATCATATTAGTATCCTTGTCATTTGGTTTAATGCTGTCGGCAAACACACCTGTAATGAAATTGCAGTTGCACAAACCATCAGCCCATACCATGAATCAAAATATCATATTTGTCAAAAACAACATTTAATAATTAAAGCGTAAATTATATTAACCTGAAATTATGAGAATCACTAGCAGACACACCTCCATGTTGAAACCTCAAAGTTTTAATTGGTTTTCGTCACAGCTTACCATTTTTGAGGTTCATACATGCAAACTTGGAAACATTTGATACATGAAATAAATGATTGAGATGGATGCATAGATGTAGTGGGGAGGTGCTCTGCTGTTTATGAACAGTGTGGGTGTGGTCAGTGACATCGTAACCATTCCTATGCATTATCAAGTTCACTAAATATAGGCAATACTTAGTGGGACAATACTTAATACTCTGTGACCCCCCTCCCCCCCACACTCTCACACTGTGCAAATGGTTGTGTTAAAATTCTTATTAAACCATAAATGTTCTTTCTTTTACAGTTCATATTTATCCATTTGACAACTTCTGTTTTATGATTCTCTGTAGTTCGCATTGCAAGTTTTTTTGTCTGTAGACTTGAAATTATAATTTTTTTGCTGTTAAGATAATGTAAGACACATTAAATATACAAAAATATATAAAAATTACGTTCAGTAACTTGTTCTTGTTCATTATTATATTGCCTTTTCTCTGTTCTCTTCATGTGCTCCTAAATTGTTCAGCAGGTGTTCCCACATTCTGTTATTTACAGTCTCAGTGGTACATGTGGTATTATACCCGTCTGATTACTCACTTTTAAAGCAAGAATTGTGTGTGTAAGTTTTTGTAAAGCCTCTCAGACACTTTATATTACTGGGCTGCTGCTCTTAGAGCACAACGTTCAGTGGACGTTCAGTGGAGAATTCGGATGCAGTCGACTGAACGTGACGGTCTGTGTCAGCAGCTCCATTGTATAATCGAGCACCTTTCAACAGTAAATACTGAGCTTCTCTGTTTGGATACTGTCTGTACCAATAAAGGTACATTTTACTGCTGCTTGTATCATATGAGTAGCTCAATGTCACAGACTCTCCATCTTTCCTGGTTATACTCTTATCCTCTTCATTTGGTCCAGTGCTGTCAGAAAACACACCTGGAAGTAATATAAGACAACCTCAATCCTTTCAACGAAACTAAAAAGGAGACGTTAAAAATAGCACATGCATAATGTAAAATTTTCTCTCTACTCATTGAATGCACTGCTTAACATGTTGAACTACTATTTAAGAACTGCTAAAAGTGAGCTTTACCTGATATGATTATGAGGATCAATACATTTTTCCCCATTTTGATTTTTCAGATCTGAACTGTTTTTTTTTTTTAAGTGGACTATACATCTATGTTGTTTTGAATGATTATATTAATAATATGGGTGTGGATTGTGATATTGTGAAGACCTGCCCCCTTTTCGGCAAACACCTAGCAACATTTGTTTTTGATCTTGACTGTCAGTGAACATTTATTCTGTTTTAACATTAATTACACTGGTGAATTAAAAATATTAATACAATGATAAAAATTAAGCTTTTGTACATATACAT